GGAGGGGGAGGGGGAGGGGGAGGTTTGGAGGCAGCTAGAGGCAGGGGGATGACGGGGGACCTCCCAGCTCAGCCCCAGAAACAGAAGTGAGCCATAGCCGAAGAGCAGCATGCCCTCTACGGCCTGAAGACCCTGCCCAGCTAGCTAGGCCGGGTCCTCTGGCTTCGAGCCTTGTACACTTCGATGAGAAGATCTTTGACGTACTGGATCTCCCGCTCCACCGACTCAGCCCTCTCCCTCAGCTCCCGGTTCCGGGCCTCCAGCCCCTGGCACTCGCCCTCCAGGGCCTCGCCCTCTGCACGCTTTCTCTGGCGGTACCGCAGAGCTGCTGACTTGTTCCGGTCTCTCTTCTTTTGCTTGCGGTCCCCTCGGGTGGCGGCAGGATTGGGGTACGGGGTGGGGCAGGAGGGTTGCGGGGGAGGAGAACGCGGTTGCTGTGGGGGGCACAGGGGCGCCAACCCCGAGTCCCCCTGCGTGGCCTCACTGCGGCAGTAGATGGCCAGCAAGTCGAGGGTGTCCGGGGCCGGGGTCGGGGGGAGGTCAAAGGTGGGCAGGGGGAGGGCAAGGGAGAGGGCGGGTGCCGGTGCCGGTGCTGGCTGTGCGGGAGGTGGGGACGATGGTGGGAGGAGTGGGGCATCAAGGAAGTCTTCCATCTGCTCCAGCTCCTTCTTGAGGAGGGAGGCCACAGCTTCCAGGTCAGGCGGGGGTGGGGAAGGTGGGGGGAGGACCCCTGAGGGCAAGGGGGGCTCCAGAGGGAGAAGGGCTGTAAAGTCCACCCGCTCGGTCATCCAGTCGGAGAAGCCATCGCCTGGAGGATTGGAGAGGGGCAGAAAGCTCCTTGAGCTCCTAAGCCTCCACCCAACCAGGTCCCACTCACGCCTACCTCATTCGTCCCATTCGTTGAGTAAAACCACCAACCAGCCAATCAGTCAACCAACCAATCAAGGAATCATCAAACCAGTCAACAGACCAACAGACCAGCCAACTAACCGACCAATTAGCCAAACAATCAATGAACCAGTCAACCAACCAATGACCCAAACAACAAAACAGTCAACCAGCCATTTCTTCAACCATTCCAACATCCTCTTTACTGATTAGCCCTGTGGTTTCTTGATTTACCCTCTAGTTTACTCGTAAACGGCAAACTAAATCACACATAAACACACCCTGTTTCATCTTTAATTAATTATTGAAAACGCACTATGTACCAAGCATTTGGGATACACTTCCTGCCTCAGGAGCTCTGCCTATGCTGTTTCCTCCACCTGAAAAGCTCTTCGCTTTTTTTTTTTGCTTTTTGCAGTACGCGGGCCTCTCACTGTTGTGGCCTCTCCCGTTGCGGAGCACAGGCTCTGGACGCGCAGGCTCAGCAGCCATGGCTTACGGGCCCAGCCGCTCCGCGGCATGTGGGATCTTCCCAGACCGGGGCACGAACCCGTGTCCCCTGCATCGGCAGGCGGACTCTCACCACTGCGCCACCAGGGAAGCCCAGCTCTTCCCTTTTCATGGCTCATTCCTTACCATTCTTTAGGTCTCAGCCAAAATGTTACTGACTTGGAGGTTTCCTGGCTCCCCACTCTAAACGTGTCCTTGTCATTTTTAAAAAATATTTATTTATATATTTATTTATTTTTATTTATTTAGTTGCGCCGGGTCTTAGTTGAGGAAGGCAGGCTCCTTAGTTGCAGCATGCAGACTGTTAGTTGTGGCGTGCGTGTGGGATCTAGTTCCCTGACCAGGAATCGAACCTGGGCCCCCTGCATTGGGAGTGCGGAGTCTTAACCACTGCGCCACCAGGAAAATCCCCCTTGTCATTTTTAAGCTCAGCTACTAAGTGTTTCCCACTTATCCCCATGCATCATCGTTTAATATGTCTCCTGTCTGTCTCCCCAGTAGAGTGTGAGCTCCAAGAGGGCAGGGATCATGTCAGTCTTGTTTCCAGCTGTATCCCCAGCACCTAAGACAGTGCCTGACATATTATACATGCTCAATAAATACTTATTGAATGAATGAAAAGTGAATGAATGAATTCTTCTCCCCTGCCCCCCACAGCCCAGCTCACCCCACCTCCATTCTTTGCCTGCCCTTACCTGCCAGGGGCTCTCCCCCCGCTGGAAGCCCGCCCTCCAGGGCTCCCCCAAGGACCTCATAGGGGCCCAGGGGGACAGGGGCCAGGGGGAGTTTCCCATAGTCTACGAGCCAGCCCAGCCTGCTAGCTGGGAGCAGGGTCCTGTCCAGCTCCAGCCCCAGGGTCGCCAGGAGTGACATGGCTGCAGCACGGGCGTTGGGCACGGATGGCAATGGAGAAGGCTGCACCAACAACTGGCAGGAGGCTCTGGCGGTTACTCAGCTGGACGAAGACAGGCACCAAGGCAAAAGTGGAGTACCTACGAGTGTGACACAAAAGTGAGTGGGTCAGGGGCCAGCCTCACCTACTGCCAAAGCCAAGTGGAAACGAAGCCATACCCCCAGGGCCCCGGGATTCCTTGCCCTTTCAGAATTCTAAATCTGCCCTTTCCCCAAATCTGAGCCCCACCCATTCCCAAGGGAATTCTCTTTACGCCCGACTTACTTTTCTTCAGAATTCCCCACACCCAATCCTTCCAATACAAAAACCTATGGTCTCCCAGGGGAATTTCCTTAAGTCACCCATTCCCAAGGGAATTCTCTTTACGCCCGACTTACTTTTCTTCAGAATTCCCCACACCCAATCCTTCCAATACAAAAACCTATGGTCTCCCAGGGGAATTTCCTTAAGTCCCTCCCCCCTACCGCATAATATTCCGTTTCCCTTAAAAAAAAAAAAAAAAAAACTTTTGAGTAGAAGCAGGATACAATTCCACAATGCCAAGAAGCCTCACAACGAACTGATGTGCAAGAAACTACAGTCAAAAGACATAGGGTTGGGCTTCCCTGGTGGTGCAGTGGTTGGGAGTGCGCCTGCTGAGGCAGGGGGCACGGGTTCGTGCCCCGGTAAGGGAAGATCCCACATGCCGCGGAGCGGCTGGGCCCGTGAGCCATGGCTGCTGAGCCTGCGCATCTGGAGCCTGTGCTCCGCAACGGGAGAGGCCACAGCAGTGAGAGGCCCGCGTACCGCAAAAAAGAAAAAATAAATAACAAAATGAACAAAGTTTAACAGGGTGGTACGATGGTTTCTGATCAGCAGAGCAAGGAAAATTTGAGGCAATGAAAACTGATGCCAAGACTGGACTCCAGCATATGGAGAAGCTGCCCAGTCAGTGTGGACAGACGCTCCAGGGAAATATATGCTATCAAAACAGAAACACCCCAAAGGCTAGTTGCTGAACACATCTGATCGGCGAGCAAAATCTTAATTTACTGATCTAATCAAAACTGGTGGATCTTACAAAGGCCGTTTGGGCTTACTTGTGGAATTCAGGTTAGTGTCATCAGAATGAAAATCAGTGCAAAAAATCTTTCAGAAATCATGTCCAAACATTTGGCGGCACCTGAAATATGAAATAAAGTTATGAGAAGAGTATGTCATAATAAAATAAAGATAGCAAGTGGAATGTCATCTCCCTGTGGCAATTTTATAAATGTGAAACGAGGCAGAAGGCCCTATCACAGAATAATGATGGTATTTGAAATACTGAAATGTAAAGAGGGGGACTACCTCATTCAGTCAACAGAAAGCTCACCGGAATCTGGCTGCTGTCAGTAAAGATTTTTTTCTGTGACCCATGCTGTGTAAGGCAATGATGAAAAAACTATAAACTAAGGGAGCCTCCTGCACTGTCGGTGGGAATGTAAACTGGCACAGCCACTATGGAGAATAGTGTGGAGGTTCCTTAAAACACTAAAAATAGAACTACCATATGACCCAGCAATCCCACTCCTGGGCATATACCCTGAGAAAACCATAATTCAAAAAGATACGTGCACCCCAATGTTCACTGCAACACTATTTACCATAGCCAGGACATGGAAGCAACCGAAGTGTCCATCACCAGAGGAATGGATAAAGAAGATGTAGTACATAGATACAGTGGAATATTATTTAGCCATAAAAAAGGAACAAAATAGTTCCATTTGCAGAGATGTGGATAGACCTAGAGACTGTCATACAGAGTGAAGTAAGTCAGAAAGAGAAAAATATTGTACATTAATGCTTATATGTGGAATATAGAAACATAGTACAGATGAACTTATCTGCAAAGCAGAAATAGAGACACAGATGTAGAGAACAAACTTATGGATACCAAGGGGGAAGGAGGGGGCGGGATGAATTGGGAGATTGGGATTGACATTTATACACTACTATGTATAAAACAGATAACTAATGAGAACCTACTGTATAGCACAAGGAACTCTACTCAATGCTCTGTGACCTAAATGGGAAGGAAATTCAAAAAAGACAGGATATATGTATACATTTAGCTGATTCACTTTGCTGTACAGCAGAAACTAACACAACACTGTAAAGCAACAATACTCCAATAAAAATTAATAAAAAAATTAAAGTACCCATTTTGCTGGTTAGGATTTGAGGTAAACAGACATGAAAAGTGCAATAAAGACAGACATCTTGTTGAGAAGTGAAGTTTTGGGTGAAGAGATGAATAGTTAGAATCTTCAAATATAGATTATCAAGCTTTACAAGGGTTACTGTGTTGAATTCTCTTTGACCTTTAATCTCAAATGCCATTAAAAGCAACGTAAGCAAAAAACGAATGTTGGAATCTCTTCATGTGCTGTCTGACTCACTATTTATACTTTTTATTTGATCTTCTAAAGCTCCCTTTGTTCTCATTAAAAAAAAAAACTATAAACTAGAATTTGTTCAAAAAGCAACCTCCAGAATTCTCCCTTGATTCCCTGTGACACATTTCTACGTCTGCCTTTGACGTGATTGTGTTTTCCTTACCTATTAGTAGCTCCTTAATAAATCTGAGCAAATGCATGAATGAATAAATGATCAATGAACCTGAGATACTTAAAGATTATAACTTATCCAGGGAAAAAGAGATTCCAGAGCTGATCAGACTGAAAAGTAAAATAAAATTCTAGGAAAATAAAAGTCAACAGGAAGAATTAGAACCAAAAGGATCTTCTGATTAACCCCCAGATAATTATAAGATTTAATTAACCAGAAGAACCCAGTCTCTGTTCATTCTCTTTAATTGAGATTTTACTGCAGTTAAAATGATGTCAAAATGCTCTCATTAATAATGAATGAAAGTGTCAGAGAACTGGCTCACCAAATTTACTGTGCTTAGGTAAATCATAATTAGGAAAGGGTTATGAGAGTGTCCTTGGAGACCGATCCATCTCAAAATGGAGCAATATCATCACAGATGAAATTCAACAAGGAAACAGCACAATGTAATAATCCTTGAAAAGAGGAAATACAATTACTCAAATGAGGTGTTGGGTTCTGAGCAGTGCAGTCAATCAAGTCTCATTTCACGAAACTCAGGGGCAATACTCAACAAAACTGAACTCTTGATTACATTACAGTGTATTAATCTCATATCTGCATATTCACAATTTCCCAGCTGATAAAATGTCCTGCTGTTATTTTACTGGAGATTTGGAATAATCCGAATCCTGTTAAGTCAGAGCTACTGGGTCTGGTTCTGGATTTTCTGCAACTTAGCAGGGCTCACGCTCTGTGTCTCTGTTCGTCACAGGGCCTCTTTCCTGCAACATCTCATGTCCCCCTTACACACCTTCCCCCTGGAGGACGGTCCTTCTCGCTCTTCGGCTAATTCCTAGTCCCATCTGCTACTCATCTGGAAAACTAGAGTTTGTGAGTAGGATCACACATGGTAATGAGTTCTAATGAGTTTTTAATGGACCACACTTCACAATGAACATACCTGTAATAAAAAAAAAAAAAAAAAAAAACCACTCAATCCCAAGGGAATTTTCTTGCAGCCACACCTCTTCCTCTAAAATACATCCTTTAGGCCTCACCTCCTCCCTAGATTCCATCTCAAATCTCTTCCCAGGGGAATTCCCCCCTGTCCCGCCCCTTCATCAATGTCATCCGTTCGAATCCCACCCTTCCCTTTGAATTTTGCGGTGATTGCCAGTCCCTCCAAGTCCCGCCCCCACGGTTTATTTTAGCTCCACCCCTCCCCGACGATTCCCCAGAGGCCTCGCCTCTTTCTCAGATAGAAACACCATCCCCTCAGCTAACGGTTTTCTTAGTCCCGCCCCTTCTCACCGCGGGTTACCCCCCAAGCCCCACCCCCCCGTGACGCCTCATATCCTAGCTCCATCCCCTTAAACGGGTAGTTTCTAAGTCCCGCCTTCCCCCCGTCAATCCCCGCCCCCAGCAGATGCCTGAATGAAACGGAGGAAAGAGGCGCTTTGCGCCTGAGCAAAGTGGAGGCGGGCGGGTGGAGGCTGCAGGCGGAGAACAGCTCCTCACTCTCCGCCATCCACACGCGGCTCTCTCGCCGAGGGCTAAAGCGCATGCTCCACCGCCGTAGCGGCCCCATTGCTCCCTCAGGCCTCCGCCCTCCTGGGGGTCAGTGCGCACGTGCGGCTGCTTACTGCCCGCCCTTTGCATAGAAATACTACCGTTGGTGGACAGATGCGCATGAGCAATCGCTCGCAGACTCATTCAGGGCGGGGGGAACCACCACCCTCTCTGGGAACTAGTGCGCAGGCGCAAACGCACACGGGCTGTCTTTAAACACCAACATTGTCTGGAAGAACGCACCCTCCCCCCATCGGGCCGAGTGCGCATGCTCGACCGCGCGCGAAAGACCCGTCTTCCCTCTTCTGCGCCTGCGCGACCATGATTCCTCAGTCTCGTCTCCCTACGCCCCAAACTCGGTCGTGAGGGCCGCGAGCTTCGAAAGGGCGGGAAAGGCCGTTGGAGAGAGAGAGGCGAGCGGTTACTCACTCCATGGCTGCGCAAGGGAAAGGCGGCGGCGGCGGCCTCGGCTGAAGAAAGAAGGTAGGAGCGGAGGGCGCAGGCGCGGTGAGCGCGGAGACTGGCCGAGGGCACAGAGGGGTCGCGGCTACAGAGCCATGGCCGGGGCTACGCGGGCTGAGGTGGCGTCGCGGTGGTGTGAGGAGAAATCATGATCTGAGGATGGGGAATGAGGTGACCTCGTGGACTGGGGACAGATATACCGGAGGTGGCGCAGCACGGCCTGCCCGGATCCTTCCGCGCCCCGCCCCGCGCGGCCTCAACCGTGAGGCGGGCCTGAGCGTCCGCCCTCGGGGATCCCGGGATCCGGCCCCCTCATCCTTCCCACCCCGGGAATTCAGGCCTCTCCTTTCTCTGACCTGTGGATCTAGCCCCGCTTTCCTCCCAGCCTCGGGGGTGCCGACCCTTCTTTCCCTCTGACTCTGGGGTCCGGCCCCCTTCTCCTTGTGGTCCGCGGCCCGGCTCTCTGCTCTCTCTGATTTGGTGACTCGGCCCTTCCTCTTCCCTGAGACCCGCACTAGTTCATTTCTCCTTTCTTTTCCCCTGCTTCGCGAATTTCCGGTCAGCCACATGTTGATCTCTTTATCCTTAATTGCCGTCCCACTCTGAGGACACTTTTTGTGGTTTAGAGTCAGGCGTGAGTCACAGAGCACGCTCCGTTCAAATCAGAGACCGGCGAGGGTGGCCTTGGGCAAATAAATTCTCTAGCCTCTCAGATAGGGGATTATTTGTAAAGTAAGGAGAATAATCAAGTGTACCTGGTGGGGTCGTTTGTGAGAAATAAGTCCATTCCTGTGAAACCCAGATCCCACCTCCTACATGCTCGCTCAGCGTCTTTTATGATCAGTAGGAGGGAACTCTGAGCCCCAGCGTCAACCCTTCCGACCCCCGTGGCCGAAGTTCCAGACACTTAACCATGCAACACTTGCTAATAGGTCGTTCTTGTGTTTCCTTCACTCCTTCAAGGTGATTTCCAGCCATCCCTGCCCTCTCCCATTCAAATGATGGACGCTCAGCCCCAGTGGTGCAGGGAGTCGGTCATCGCCCTCAGTCTTATCTTTTCTCCATCCCCTGTCCACCTCTCCTCAGCCCTTATCCTTAGCACTCTTTTCAGGCCCGTTGGTTCATTCTTCTGTCCCTGCCCCTCCCCTAGACTTCCTTTCGAAGGATCCTCTACCTCGGCTGCGCCCCCGCCCCCCGCCACTAGATCAGTCTTCACACTCTGCCAGAAAGAGGGAGATCTGTACTTGCATCGCTAAAAGAGATCAGGCTTCCTAGCCATCCCCTCCCCCTGCACTGGACCCTCCACCAGCCCCCAGTGGATGTGGGTCTTTCCTGTGCAGCAGAAACCCCTCCATTTCCCACCCTGCATTCATCCACATCAGGACATTACACCTGGAGTTCAGCTTTTCATCACTTTTGTGGTGCTTATGAGAATGAATCAAGATCCAAAGAATGTGGGGGACCCTGATCTTGAGTTAGCTGGGAGTGAATACACACAGACTTTTTTTTTCCCCTTCCAAATGCATGTGCTCTTTTTTTCTCCCGGTTTTATTGAGATATAATTGACATGTAGCGCTGTATAAGTTTAAGGTGTACAACATAATGATTTGACTTACATACCTCGTGAATTGATTACCACAATAAGTTTAGTGAACATCCATCACCTCCTACAGTTACAACACTAAAGAAATAGAAAAAAATACATACGTTTTTCCTTGTGATGAGAACTTTAGGATTTATACTCTTAACAACTTTCATATACAACATATAGCAGAGTTAATTATATTTATCATATTGTACATTATATCCCTCGTACAGGCTGCTGTTGCATACAGGAAGTCTTTCTTGGGATCTGACCATGTTCCCTTATGATAGTTAACTGTCCACTCTGCCAACTCTTGCCCTATAGGGGCTACGTTATTACCAAGGCAGCACAGAGTAGTGGTTAAGAGCAGTCTCTGGAGCCAAGTTGTTGGGTTCAAACGCTGAGTACACCCCACTTACTAGCTTACTGGCAATTTCCGTTCCCTGTGCCTCGGTTACCATTAACAGTGCCAGAATAAAGCATGGAGTTGAGTTAATAGAAACGTACTGATGTACGTGGGCCGTTAATAGTACCTGCTTCTTAGTACTGTTTTGAGGATTAAATGAGTTCATCTAGGTCAAGTGTGCTTAGACTAGTGCCTGGCACACAGTAGGTGCTACATAAGGGGTTTTTATTATTACTCTTATTGGGTTGGATATGTTTTATCTCCATTGCTAAGCAGTAGTGCTTTTAAAGTTCTTCTAAGTAAGAAGGACCGACTTCCACTCCTCAGTGTAGATATTTGAGCGATAGCAGGTGAGATTATGGGAGTCTGTTGGACAGGCCGCTGGCAGTGAGGGGGCACAATCACTCCCCAGTCTTCTTCGAAAAGACCTTCTAGATTATAACACGTGGACTAGGTAGAGTATTTTTCTTTAAATAAACTTTTTATTTTGGAATAATTGTAGATGTACTGCAAAGACAGTGCAGAGAGTCCCCTTATACCCCTCATCCAGTCTCTGTCACTGGACATCTTGCATTACGCTCGTACATTTGACACAACTTAGGAGCCAACATCAGTACGTTTCTATTACCTAGACTCCACCTTGTCTTCTGATTTCACCAGTTGTTCGCTAACGCCCTTCCTTTGTTCCAGGATCCCCTCCAGGATGCCGTCTTACACTTTAGGTCTTACGCTTTAGTCGTCCCGTCTGTCTCTTTAGCCACCTCTGCTCTGCAAAGGCTTTTTAGACTTGCCTTGTCTCTCATGACCCTGACAGTTTTGAAGAGTGCAGGTTGGATATTCTATGGAATGTCCCTCCATTTGGTTTTGTCTCATAGACGGGGATTATGGGGTTTTGAGAGGATGACCAAGTAGGATATTTTTTAATACCTGGGAATGAACTTAGTGTGGGAATCTTGCTGCTTGTAGATTGCGGCGTTTGCTGACTGAGAAGACCCTGGTCCCCCCTGTCCCAGCCCCTTGTGCCTTTTTCTCTCTCCATCTCTTGGGTCCCATAGAGTTGAGTTCTGGTGCCAATTATCCCACCCACGCGGCCTGACTCAGTCCTGCAGAACTGGTGCCAGCTTGCACACTGAGCTCCCTAGCCCTTCAGGGCATATTCAAATTTATGGGCGGTGGGTCATCAGTGGTGCCTGTGAGCCCAGGTCTTGGCACCCTGAGCCCTCTCCCCACACCCACCTCTGGACCTATTGCCCATCCAGGACTCAGATGCCTTGGCCTCCCCCAACTTCACAAAGTCCTCTGGGGTCCAGCTGCCCCAGGCCCTTCAACTCCTGAGCTGGGGCTGGGAGCATGGGTGGGGCTGCTGGGGACTCTTTTTCAGTGCGGAGGAGCCAGGCTTGGGGAGTGAGGTGGCAATTGCAGGCAGGTTGCATCACCCTGGCTGTTTGACAGGGAGGGGGAGTGGGGGGGATTCTCTGGGGGCCCCCCTGTGCACCCGGCAACTGTTCCTGGTTATTGAAGCCCTGGATTGGAGAGAGGCTCCAGCACAGCAAGGGAGGGGTTTGGGGAGGGGGAGGGGGAGCAACCTGTGCAGAACCCTGAGACTCAGGCTCGATGCCAAGAACTACCAAGAACAGACTCAGATCACAGAGGCTGACCCGCTCAGCTTGCAGGGGGCAAGGTGTCGTGTACAGTCACACTGCTGGTTAGAGCCCGGGCCTCCGCCATATAGCTTCCAAGGCCCTGCTGGTCCCAGGGAGAGCCTGTCCTCTCTCAGATGTGTGGGGTCCCTGACCCCCCAGCTCAGGATGTAGCCTGCTGGGAGGCCACCAAGCCTGGACCTTCACCTCGGGTCTGCTGCTGCCCACAGTTGCCAAATTCTATTGATTGTGACCTGCCCCTCCCCATCCCCTGTCCCAGAGGAGGCCCTCCTCACCTGTCCTATCGCAGAACCCCAAACTGGTCTCCCAGTCAAGGTGACGGGCCTGCAGTGATGGAAGAGGCACCAAGTTTTCCATCAGATGGACCCAGGTTTCAATCCCAAGCCCATACCACCTAGTCCTGGCCAAGGGTGCACACGAGGCCCTTACTCTGCCTTGGCCTCAGCTGCCTTCTGAAAAGTGGCTCAGATGGCTGCTCAACCTTTTGGCTAAGATCAAGTGAAAAGTGGCTCAGAGCCTTGACTCTGGAGCCAGCCTGCTAGGTTCACATCCCAACACCACTTATTTGACCCTCGGCAAGTGACATCTTCTCTCTGTGATTCAGTTTCCTCATCCATAAAATGGTGATAAGATGACCCACCTCCTAGGATTATTGTGAGGGTTAAATAGGTAAATAAATGTATGTAAAATTCCTAGAACAGAGCCTGCCTAATTATGAGCATTGATTCTTTCTCTTTAAGGCTTAGGTGCTGAGGGGATTATATGAAATGATGTAGGGTAAAGCCCAGCACTTACTAGGAACTCAAGGTCAACCCATGTTTGTTTCTCTTCGTATTCGTACCCCACTTTGTTCTGCTTTCAGAGCCACTGCGAAGGCAGATGTCTGTGTATGTGACTGTTTCCCTGAGCACTTAGAGGGTAAGTCAGGACCCTCCTCATTCCCAAGAATCATTCCTCACAGCCCCCAGCCCTGTGCTGTAGCCTCACTAGGCATCAGTTCTCTTTTTTTTGGCTGTGCTGTGGGGCATGCGGGGATCTCAATTCCCCGACCAGGGATCAAACCCGTGCCCCCTGCAGTGGAAGCACGAAGTCCCAACTGCTGGACCACCAGGGAAGTCCCGCATCAGTTTATTTTTAAATGAGTTCAGGCACAGAGACTGGGGAATTCAGTCCTGTGGCCTCTGAAGGAGCACTAGGACAGGTGTCTGCGTCATGCGGGCCAGGAGGGCAGAGGTTGGGGGTGGGCGTCTTGGCAAACAAGGGCAGGAAGGCCAAGGCCAGTTCAGCTGGGGAAAGGGCAGTGCAGGGGCCAGGCACACAGAACACAGGTCTGCCACGTGGCCCAGTGGCTCAGAGTCCTCCAGAGTCCCTTCCCTCCTCTTGCTCCCGCTACATCTTCCTCAGCAGAGGCAGCCACAGCTCTCAGAGCCTGGCGAGGCCCCATACTGCTGCACCAGCTCCAGCACCCTCGATGGTCATCTTCTGTTTTCGTTTCCTGTGGCCAGTGTAACAAATTGCCGCAAACTTAGTGGCTTAAAACAACATG